TTTTGGTGATTTTGGTGTAGTTTTGGGGGTGATTTTGGGGTGATTTGGGGTGATTTTGGGATAATTTCAGGATGATTTTGGGATAATTTCGGGATTATTTTGGGATAATTTCAGGATGATTTCAGGATGATTTCGGGATAATTTCGGGATAATTTTGGGATAATTTCAGGATGATTTCGGGATAATTTTGGGATAATTTCAGGATGATTTTGGGATAATTTCAGGATAATTTCAGGATGATTTTGGGATAATTTCAGGATGATTTCGGGATAATTTCAGGATGATTTGGGGATAATTTCAGGATGATTTCGGGATAATTTTGGGATAATTTCAGGATGATTTCGGGATAATTTCAGGATGATTTTGGGATAATTTCAGGATAATTTCAGGATGATTTCAGGATAATTTCGGGATAATTTCAGGATGATTTTGGGATAATTTCAGGATAATTTCAGGATAATTTCAGGATAATTTCGGGATAATTTTGGGATAATTTTGGGGTGATTTTGGGATAATTTCAGGATAATTTCGGGATAATTTCAGGATAATTTCAGGATAATTTTGGGATAATTTCGGGGTGATTTTGGCCCCCCAGGCTCGCTGTCCATGCGGGAGCTCCTCCCCTCCCCCCCCGGGCCGCCCCCCGAGCCCGAGGTGAATCTGTTCCTGCTGCCGCCCCTGGAGGAGGAGCCCGAGGACGCCCTGCCCCGAGGTGAGACCAGTGCAGACCAGTACGGACCAGTACGGACCAGTATGGACCAGTACGGGTCCCCAGAGACAGCCCCTGGGCACCCTGGGCCCCTTCCCAGTCCATCCCAGTATGGCCCAGTACAGCCAAGTACACCCCAGTTCCCTCTGAACCCATCCCAGACCCCCCAAACCTCCTCCCAGTACATCCCAGTATATCCCAGTCCATCCCAGTATGGCCCAGTACAGCCCAGTACATCCCAGTCCATCCCAGTATGGCCCAGTATATCCCAGTACACCCTAATCCCCCCCAAACCCCCTCCCAGTCCATCCCAGTCCATCCCAGTACATCCCAGTATGGCCCAGTACATCCCAGTCCATCCCAGTACAGCCCAGTACATCCCAGTATGGCCCAGTACATCCCAGTACACTCCAGTCCCCTCTGAACCCACCCCAGACCCCCCAAACCCCCTCCCAGTACATCCCAGTCCATCCCAGTATATCCCAGTCCATCCCAGTATGGCCCAGTACAGCCCAGTACACCCTAATCCCCCCCAAACCCCCTCCCAGTCCATCCCAGTCCATCCCAGTATGGCCCAGTATGGCCCAGTACAGCCCAGTACGGCCCAGTCCCCTCTGAACCCACCCCAGACCCCCCAAACCTCCTCCCAGTACATCCCAGTATGGCCCAGTATATCCCAGTACAGCCTAATCCCCCCCAAACCCCCTCCCAGTCCATCCCAGTACATCCCAGTATGGCCCAGTATATCCCAGTCCCCTCTGAACCCACCCCAGACCCCCCCCAAACCCACTCCCAGTCCATCCCAGTATGGCCCAGTCCATCCCGGTGCTCCCCAAACCCCGTCCCAGTCCAAACCAGTATAAACCAGTTCAAACCAGTATAAACCAGTCCAAACCAGTCCAAACCAGTATAAACCAGTATATCCCAGTCCATCCCAGTCCATCCCAGTCCCCTCCAAACCCATCCCAGCCCCCTCAAACCCCCTCCCAGTCCAAACCAGTATAAACCAGTCCAAACCAGTATAAACCAGTCCAAACCAGTATATCCCAGTCCATCCCAGTCCACCCCAATCCCCTCCAAACCCATCCCAGCCCCCTCAAACCCCCTCCCAGTCCATTCCAGTCCATCCCAGTACGTCCCAGTCCATCCCGGTGCTCCCCAAACCCCCTCCCAGTCCAAACCAGTATAAACCAGTATAAACGAGTCCAAACCAGTATAAGCCAGTCCAAACCAGTATAAACCAGTATATCCCAGTCCATCCCAGTCTACCCCAATCCCCTCCAAACCCATCCCAGCCCCCTCAAACCCCCTCCCAGTCCCTCCCCGTGCTCCCCAAACCCCCTCCCAGTCCAAACCCAGTATAAACCCGTCCCTCCCAGTTTATCCCAGTACAAACCAGTACGAACCCCGCAGGTGGGGGAGGGGCGCTGTTCCCGGCCCTGCCCCCGTTCCGCGGCCGGGGGGGGCTGGGGGGGCTCCTGGCCCGGCTGCGGGGGAGGGTCCTGGCGGCCGCGCGCTCCCAGTTATCCCACAGCCTGCTGACCGAGCGCAACTGGTGAGACTGGTTTATACTGGGAGGGCTTCGGGGGGGACTGGGAGGGGCTGGGAAAGGGTTAAAGGGGGTTTGGGGGCACTGGTTTATACTGGGAGGGGATGGGAAAGGGTTAAAGGGGGTTTGGGGGCACTGGTTTATACTGGGAGGGGACTGGGGGGGACTGGGATAAACTGGGAGGGACTGGGAAAGGGTCAAAGGGGGTTTTGGGGTTACTGGTTTATACTGGGAGGGACTGGGAAACGGTTAAATGGGGTTTTGGGGTTACTGGTTTATACTGGGAGGGGCTGGGAAAGGGTTAAAGGGGATTTGGGGTTACTGGTTTATACTGGGAGGGGACTGGGAAAGGGTTAAAGGGGGTTTGGGGTTACTGGTTTATACTGGGAGGGGACTGGGAGGGACTGGGAAAGGGTTAAATGGGGTTTTGGGGGCACTGGTTTATACTGGGAGGGACTGGGAGGAGTTTGGGGGGGACTGGGAGGAACTGGGAGAGGGTTAAAGGGAGATTTCGGGTTACTGGTTTATACTGGGAGGGACTGGGAGGGGACTGTGAGCAACTGGGAAGGGATTGGGAGGGACTGGTTTATACTGGGAGGGAACTGGGAGCAACTGGGAGGGGATTGGGAAAGGGTTAAAGGGGGATTTGGGGTTACTGGTTTATACTGGGAGGGGATTTGGGGGGACTGGTTTATACTGGGAGGGGATTCGGGGTTACTGGTTTATACTGGGAGGGGATTCCGGGTTACTGGTTTATACTGGGAGGGGATTTGGGGGGACTGGTTTATACTGGGAGGGGATTCGGGGTTACTGGTTTATACTGGGAGGGGATTTGGGGGAACTGGTTTATACTGGGAGGGGATTGGAATAAACTGGGAGGGGACTGGGAGCGAACTGGGGGGAACTGGGAGGGTGCTCATTACCTGTACCAGTCCATACTGGTTTATACTGGTCTGTACTGGTTTATACTGGTTTATACTGGTTTATACTGGTCCGTACTGGTTTATACTGGTATATACTGGTTTATACTGGTCCATACTGGTGCAGGTTCCACTACGCCGCCCGCATTTGGGACGGGGTGAAGAAATCCTCAGCCCTGGCTGAGTACGGCCGCTTACTGGGATAAACTGGGAGCACTGGGAGCCTCGTGCTGCTCTTCATTAACGACCCCCCTCGTTAATTAATGACGCCTAATTACCCTCGCCGAGGTTTCCTTATCTCCTTTCCCCTCACGGCTCTGAGGCGGCTCCCCCCGCGCTAATAAACAGCCCAAAGCGCCTTTTCTTTGTCTTAATTAGCGCCAAGTCATGATTAATTGCCTTTCCCTAAGGATTAATGAAGCTTAATTACCCTGGCGGAGGTTTAATTATTTCCTTTCCCCTCACGGCTTCCCGCGCTTGGAAAAAGGCGGGAAAAACTCCGCTGGGAGGACGCGCGGGTAGAGCGCGCCCCGCGCATGCGCGCAGCCAATGGGCGCGCGCTATGGAGCCCCAGAGTCGCGCGGGGCAGAGCGGCCCGGGAGGGCGCGCTGAGGCGACTTCCGGTGCGGCGCTGAGGCGACTTCCGGTGCGGCGCTGAGGCGACTTCCGGTGCGGCGCTGAGGCGGCTTCCGGTGCGGCGCTGAGGCGGCTTCCGGTGCCGCTCTGAGGGGACTTCCGGCGCGGCCCTCATGGCGGAGATCCCGTTCGCCCGGGTGGTGTCGGTGACCAGCGCGGACCCGGTGGGTCCCGGGGAGGTTCGGGAGGAGCCGGGCTGGGCTCGGCGGTACCGGGGCTCGGTTCTGAGGGTTCGGTGCGTCCGCAGCGGCACCCGGCGGAGAATCTGCTGCGGCCCGAGGATGGCGGGAAGTGGAGGGGAGCGGCGGCGGGCGAGAAACAGCTGAGCGTGGTGCTGGAGGTGGGGCTGGGGGTAACTGGGAGGGACTGGGAGGGACTGGGAGGGACTGGGAGGGACTGGGATGAACTGGGAGGGACTGGGAGAGGAGTGGGATAAACTGGGAGGGGACTGGGATGAACTATGAACTGGGAGGGACTGGGAGAGGAGTGGGATAAACTGGGAGGGGACTGGGATGAACTGGGAGGGACTGGGATGAACTGGGAGGGACTGGGAGAGGAGTGGGATAAACTGGGAGGGGACTGGGATGAACTGGGACTGGGATGAACTATGAACTGGGAGGGACTGGGATAAACTGGGAGGGACTGGCGGGGACTGGGAGTAACTGGGAAGGGACTGGGAGAGGAGTGGGATAAACTGGGAGGGGACTGGGATAAACTGGGAGGGACTGGCAGGGACTGGGAGGGGATTGAGGGGGACTGGGATGGACTGGGACAAACTGGGAGGGGATTGGGATGAACTGGGAAGGGATTAGGAAGGACTGGGATAGACTGGGAAGGGATTGGGAGGGACTGGGATGAACTGGGGTGGACTGGGAGGGGATTGAGAGGGACTGGGATAAACTGGGAGGGGATTGGGGGGGACTGGGATAAATTGGAAGAGGGTTTGGGGGGATTGGGAGGGACTGGGATGGACTGGGAGTAACTGGGATACACTTGGAGAGGATTGGAATGGACTGGGAGAGACTGGGATGGACTGGGAGGGCATCGAGGGGAACTGGGATAAACTGGGAGGGGATTAAGATGGACTGGGATAAACTGGGATGGACTGGGAAGGGACTGGGGGTGACTGAGAGGGGGTTTGGGGGCACTGGGAGGGGACTGGGGGTTACTGGGATGTAGTGGGAGGGGACTGGGACAAACTGGGACCAACTGGGAGGGCAGTGGGGCTGAACTGGGATAATCTGGGACAAACTGGGAGGGACTGGGATGAACTGGGAGGGA